GGTTATTGATTGTAAAGTGCTTCAAAGATGTACTAAGTAGTATTGTGTTTTCCCTCTGCAACCTTTGTGTATTATGATAGTATCTCTAACATTAACTGAAGTATGGGGGGAAACTAATATGAACAGTACTGGCTGCCTTTCAATTCTTTCCAGCAAGATCTAGCTGACAGCCATGATGCTGACATGTGTGCAGTCAGCAATTTACACCAGACTGTTGGATTCCTTATGCATGAAGACAAACTGTTGTTAATTGGTGTGAAGACCCTCATGATGCCACATACACTCTATTGCATGGAATATCAGACTCAAATGTATATAAACCGGTTGACCCCCAGGGGCTGAACCAAAGAGGGATCTAAGCGTAGAAGCCTTAATATTAATATAGCTGATGGTGGTTCACCTGCTGTTTTGGAGCTGAATGTCCCAAATCTTGTTCCCAGTGGTTCAAATGTGTAGGTGAATTGACAGCCAGGATGCGTTCAGCACACTGATTCCTTGAGTTTTCTGACATGCACGGACAAATAAAGCTTTAGTGTCTCTTTCTCTAGGAGATGGTGCAGGCTTCTTATCTGACTTGTAAACACAATTCACCCTTGTGCTTGTGCAGTCTGCATTTCTTTTTGTCAGATGCTATAAATGCTCACTCTCGTCTGTGAGCTAGATTCAGACTGCAGATTAGGGCTGTCAAGCAATTAAAAAAATAATCGTGATTAGTCGGACTGTTAAACAGTAATAGAGTACCATTTATTTAAATATTTTTGGATGTTTTCTACATTTTCAAACAGCAACGTTAATTACAACACAGAATAGAGAGTGTATAGTGCTCACTATATTTATTTTTATTACAAATATTTGCACTGTAAAAAACAAAATAAATAGTATTTTTCAATTTACCTAATACAACTACTGTAGTGCAATCTCTTTATCATGAAAGTTGAAGTTACAACTCAGTCCTACTTCTTGTTCAGCCAATCACTCAAACAAGTTTGTTTACATTTGCGGGAGATAATGCTGCCCACTTCTTATTTACAATATCATCTGAAAGTGAGAACAGGCATTCACATGGCACTGTTGAAGCCGGCATCGCAAGATATTAACCTGCTAGATGCACCAAAGATTCATATGTCCGTTCATGCTTCAACCGCCATTCCAGAGGACATGCGTCCATGCTGATTATGGGTTCTGCTGGATAATGATCCAAAACAGTGCAGACTGATGCATGTTCATTTTCATCATCTGAGTCATATGCCACTGCAGAAGGTTGATTTTCTTTTTTGGTGGTTTGGGTTCTGTAGTTTCTGCATCGGAGTGTTACTCTTTTAAGACTTCTGAAAGCATGCTCCACACCTCGTCCCTCTCAGATTTTGGAAGGCACTTCAGATTCTTAAACCTTGGGTCGAGTGCTGTAGCCATCTTTAGATTTCTCACATCGGTACCTCTGTGTTTTGTCAAATCTGCTGTGAAAGTGTTGTTAAAATGAACAACATATGCTGGGTCATCATCCGAGACTACTATAATATGAAATATATGACAGAATGTGGGTAAAACCGAGCAGGAGACATACAATTCTCCCCCAAGTAGTTCAGTCACAAATTTAATTAACGCATTATTTTTTTAACAAGCATCATCAGCATGGTAGCATGTCCTCTGGAATGGTGGCTGAAGCATGATGGGGCATACAAATGTTTAGCATATCTGGCACATAAAATACCTTACAATGTCCGCTACAAAAGTGCCATGCGAATGCCTGTTCTCACTTTCAGGTGACATTGTAAATAAGAAGCGGGCAGCATTATCTTCCGCAAATGTAAACTAACTTGTTTGTTTTAGCGATTGGCTGAACAAGAAGTAGAATTGAGTGGACTTGTAGGCTCTAAAGTTTTACATTGTTTTGTTTTTGAGTGCAGTTATGTAACAAAAAAAATCCGACATTTATAAATTGCATGTTCATGATAAAGAGATTGCACTACATACTTGTATTTTGCAATTCAGCTCATACTATTTTTTGTTTGTCATTTACCGTGCAAATATTTGTAATAAAAAATAATATAAAGTGAGCACTGTACACTTTGTATTCTGTGTTGTAACTGAAATCAATATATTTGAAAATATAGAAAAAAAATCCAAAAATATTTAATACATTTCAATTGGTATTCTATTGTTTAGCAGTGCGATTAAAACTGCGATTAATTGCGATTAAATTTTTAGAGTTAATCGCATGAGTTAACTGCAATTGATCAACAGCCCTACTGCAGATATTGGCCAGTCACAGCAGGGTAGTTTTACGTTATGGTTGTCTCTGACATGCATCTGGGATTGTAATCTGGCCTCGGAAGTGGGATGGGAACCTATGAGCCTCCCCCTGAAATAAACAGAAGAAAATTGCAAGTTTAGCTTTTCTACCCTGCAATCTCTGCTGCTGATCACTATGGTGGGTATGAAACAAATAGGAAAAACAATGTACATCATTCAGAATAAATTTAGAAATGCTATTGCCAGAGAGACATTTCATTCTTTAAATTAAGCAGCAAAATATATTACTATAATTATTCCATGGCCACTTTTAACCATAAAGCCCCATTGGCAGACATTTGTATACAACCTTTAACAGTAATACACTGGTTAAGCACAGTTTTGGTTATGTGTATGTCCTGGGGATTGTACGTAACCCAGGATCTCCCAGTGTGGCTGATATGAAAAGTAGTTTGACTTTTTTTTTACTTCCTACCAAGGATGGGGATGTACTGGGCAGCCTTCTTGCAGGTGGCTAGCTCCCCTTACACCTGAAGCCCCATTTATCTACAAGCTTCCTTTATCCTCTGAGTCTTTATCTAACCAGGTTTATGCTTTATTTGAACTAGCCTCTCTTCCTGTGTTCCTAATGCTGACTCTTTGATCCATGAAAATCAATGGGAGTTAGGTACCTAACTCTCTTAGGCTACTTTCAAAATCCTAGCCTAAGCTCCTTGAGAATACTGAAGTGGTTGTGTAAAACCAATAGACTAAGGCCTTGGCTACACTTGTGAGTTACAGCGCTGTAAAGCCTCCCCCAGCGCTGTAACTCACTCCCCGTCCACACTGGCAAGGCATTTGCAGCGCTTTATCTCCATGGTTGCAGCGCTGCATGTACTCCACCTCTCTGAGAGGAATAGCGAGTATTGCGCTGCCACTGTGTGCCAAGTGTGGCTGCCCAACGTGCTGTGAATGGCCTCCAGAATTATTCGGCAGTATGACACAATGCCTGTTCTAGCCACTGTGGTCATCAGTTCAAACTCTACTGCCCTGGCCTCAGGTAACCAACCATGTGACCCACCCTTTACATTCCCGGGGAATTTTAAAAATCCCCTTCCTGTTTGCTCAGCCCGGCGTGGCGTGGAGTGCTATCAATGAATCTTTCCAGGTGACCATGTCTCCACGCGCTAAGTGAGCCCCAGCATGGAGCAATGGCGAGTTGCTGGACCTCATCAGGAAGCTGTCCAGTCCCAGCTGCGCTCCAGCTGTAGGAATTACGATACCTTCGGGAAGGTATCAAAGGACATGATGGAAAGGGGCCATGACCGGGACGCCCTGCAGTGCAGGATTAAAGTGAAGGAGCTGCGGAGTGCCTACCGCAAAGCCCGCAACGCAAATGGCCGCTCGGGTGCTCCCCCTGCGACCTGCCAATTCTACAAAGAGCTGGATGCGATACTTGGGGTTAACCCCACCTCCACTCCGAGCACCACCATGGACACTTCAGAGCCGGTGTGGTGGGGGGGAGGAGGAAGAGGAGGAGGAGGAGGAAAACGGGAGTGATGGTGGTGGGCCGGATAGAGACACCCTGGAATCCCTGGAGCTATGCAGGATCTTAAGGAATAGTTTGACAGCCAAACGTGACGTGCTGGCGAGACTCGTCAGCATACGCCTCAGCAGTTCGGACTCCTTTTCCTGCAGACAGATCGCGCTGCACAGAAACCGTTGAAAGATGGCGCCAAAGGTGGACGGAAACAAAGGGATTTCTGGGATGCAAAGCGATGCATCACGGGGCATTGGGACAGGACCCAGAATCCCCTGCACCCACGCCCCCTTCCCACAACCCACGGCGCCAGAATGGGAAAAGGTGCTCTGTGGGATAGCTGCCCATAATGCACCGCTCCCAATAGCGCTGCAATTGCCGCAAATGTGGCCACGACAGTGCGCTGGGCAGCTCAGTGTGGACAGACTGCAGCGCTTTCCCTACTCAGCTGCACAAAGTCAGGTTTAACTCACAGCGCTGTACATCTGCAAGTGTAGCCAAGGCCTAAGGGTAGTCTACACTGGTGCTGGAGGTATAATTTCCAGCTCAGGTAGACATACCCATGCCAGTGCAGTCAAACTAGCACGCTGAAAATAGAAGTGTAGCTATGGCAGTGAAAGCAGTGTGAGGGGCTAGCCACCCAAATATGTATCTAGGGTCTCAGATGGGACTATATTTGGGCTGGCATCTCCTGCCACTCACACCACAGCAGCTACAGATCTATTTTTGGTGCAGTAGCTCAATTAGACCTAGTGTGGGCTGTCTACCCATGCTGGAAATTACACAAACAGCTCCAGTATAGACATACCCTTAGATATAGGTTCATAAAGGCTAAGGGGGGGTTAAAAGGCAAGTCAGAGGACTGTTGTGGCCATTGGAATGTCAGTGACATACTCTCTCTAATTATTGAGAATGTTATAACATTGTCTATTCAGTTTCCAGTACTCTTCCACAATAAAAGTCCTGGAAACTAAATCAGCTAATGTTGATACAGTGAACTGGGCCATATCAAAGACCATCTAGCTCCTCTGCCTTCATCAATTTACTGCACTTCAAATTCTCTGTCTACCTCCGTTTGGGAACTCTGTCTCTCCAGTCCTCACTTGACTATTTATGTGCTAAGTTTATTTATTTCTAGGCTCTGGAGAGTAAAAATTGTCATCCTGAGATAATATGCAAACTTACAAAGGGGATCCTTGTTCTTTAAGTTGTGTTCTGTTTCATACAGGCAATTGGAAATGCTAAAACAACCAGGAACGACAACAGCAGTCGCTTTGGGAAATACATTCAGATTGGCTTTGATAAAAGATACCATATCATTGGTGCCAACATGAGGACGTATCTATTGGAAAAATCAAGAGTTGTGTTCCAGGTGAGTTATGCAACATTTTCCTTTGGACGCCTTAATTTTATTTTTATTTTTTTAGTGAACTTGCATTTTTTTTCTTAAAGATAGATATAGATACATTAAAACCTTCCCTTTTATAAGTCAAACTTTTGGCAGACCCCGACTTTGGAGACTAGTCTAACAAATTTTGACAGTTCTTCAGGGTTAGAAGCTGAGAACATATGATGGTGGTTTTGATTGTCAGAGCTGGCTTTGTATCAATGCTCTGTTTTTAAAAAGCTTTTTGAAACGATAAGAACATAAGAATGGCCATGCTGGCTCAGGTTGCTGGTCCATGTAGCCCAGTATCCTGTCTTCTAGCAGTGTCAGATGCTTCAGAGGGAATGAACGGAACAAGGCAATTATCGAGTGATCCATCCTCTGTCATCCAGTTCCAGATTCTGACCGTCAGAAGTTTAGGGAAACCCAGAGCACGGGGTTGCGTTCTTGCCTTACTCATTGCCCAGCTACACTGTAGATATGCTCGTGAAACATACCATGATTGTTTTGTACTTTGATTGTAAATGTAATAGCTATCAGGGTACCTAGAGCTCATTTATCATTCTTCGTGTTATTTTTTTAAATAAAATAAATGAACTGAATTGGAATGCAGAAAGAGAGATCACAGGATAAATACAATGCATTAAGGCTCCTGTTACTAAACAAAGATAAAGTAGAATTATGGCTGTAAATATATTAATCTAGGAAATAAATGTATTAGAATTTTGTAGTTATATTAAAAAGTAAAAGCCATAGAACTCTAAGGTTAAAATAAAAAAATAAAATAAAAAAAAAGCCCCTCGGAAAGTCATAACACTTGTGTTGAGTGTATAGTAGAACCTTGCTAATCTGCAAATGTTCTGATTAGCACACCAAACAGAGCAGTCGTGGCCCCCATTTCTCAGCAGAGATTTAATGAAAGGTGGGTACTGAAGTAAAAGTTGCATATTGGTAAGACTTTGTTCATTTGTGGTGGTGTTTTTTTTTTTTTTTTTTTTTTTTTTTTTTTTTTTTTTTTTTTTTTTT